TCTGATTTAGAAATAAATTCATTTCACAGATCACCTATGAACTTGCAGGAAGCTTCAGCAATTCATAGCTTTGCCACTATGCTTCTAATAATTACCTACCTCAACTAGTTGATATGAAATCAAATGTATGTCAGTTCTAAATTTCTCAATTGCCTAGATGCAGTATGTCTGTCCTTCTGAAAAGGACAGTCTGTCCTGCTTTTTTTTTCTACCTTTCTAATATTTGTCCTGTAGATGAGATTAAATTATAGCAAGGAGGATCCTCTCTCAAAATATCACAAAATGAATGGTAGTTTTGCCAGTTGTTGATACCTGGGTAGCATTATTATTAATTTATGAACTTGGAACCTCTCATCAGCATTTACGGAAGTTCCCCTTCACCGTTTCTGATGAAGAAGTTGATGCTTAAAACAAAAGCAATGTTGTCTTGAACTGAAGCATGATAACTATGAATGAATTATATTTAGCCATTCATTGTCCAAAATGACATCAAAGCAAAGGAAGATGGGAGGAGGGCAACTGACAGGCTGAGTTTACACATTCCATTATTTCATAATGTGTTTGGCTTTGACTTAAATTTCCCCAGTTGCAACTTATTCTACAAATCCTAATTAAACAAACAATAGCATGGCAGAATCTTTAACCCAAACACAGAGATTTAAATACAACAAAAAAAGTGTTGAAAATAGAAGACTATTAATTTGTTGCTGTGATGGATGGATATAGAAGGTTACATGGTAACTAGGCTAAAATAATTCAATCAAAGCACAATCAAATTCAATCACACCTGGTCTACCAGCACTTTTCTATGTTCTATTTTGTACTCCAAGCACCAGTGCTTTAAAATGATAACCAGTCACACTTCCTTTGCTATGTACACTTAAGAGATACTGTCACACTATATGCATGCTAGAAGAGCACATTAATCTTACACAGATTTACAAGGCAACCAACACTTTGCTTCCTATATATTCTTATCTATATATCTACCTTTCTATCTATCTACCTTTCTATCTATCTACCTTTCTATCTATCTACCTTTCTATCTATCTACCTTTCTATCTATCTACCTTTCTATCTACCTACCTACCTACCAATCTATCAATCTATCAATCAATCAATCATATTTATATGGCTGCCCATCTCACAAAACGAGACTCTTCCTGATTTACCTGAATAAATACAGAAGTCCTCTTTGAAGGATCCCAAAGAAACTCTACTGTATTCAACTGTGTTGGATTTGCTCTGGGATCTATTATACCCACAGACATTGGAATATCTAAAGACGACAAAAATTAGTCACACTTTAGTACAGAAGATAATACTTGTTTATTTAACAGGTCCATTCAAGTCCAAGCAAAATGATATAACAATTAATGTCAAGACTGTACAATCAAAATACAATCTGTACCCACAACAAGCAACAATCTTGCTGAAGGCTACCTAAGAAATTCATGTATAATTAAAACAATTAAGAACATTGGAACTAGCAGGTTTGACAGAATGCAGGCCAAGGGACAAACTAAGAGCAAAATTATTCACCAAGCTAATTGTATGTATGCTTTAAGTAAACTATGGGCTTTATCCCTTTGGCCATTCCTTGTGTTTCAGTTCAGGTGAAGACTTTTGCGGGTGACCAAAGTTATAGGAGGAGAACCAGTTTGGTGTAGTAGTTAAGGTATCAGGCTAAAAAAAGGAAACCATGAGTTCTAGTCCTGCCTTAGGCACAAAGCCAGCTAGGTGAGGGCCAGTCACTCTCCTTCAGCCCTAGGAAGGAGGCAAGGGCAAACTACTTCCAAGAAACCTTGCCAAGAAAATTACAGGGACTAGTACAGGCAGTTGCCAGAAGACAAAACTGACTTGAAGGCACAAAAACAATAAAGTTATAAGAATTATATTAATATATTGAGAAAAAAGGGTTAAAAAGTTGTGAAGTAACCTGAAAAGCATGCATGTGCAAGACTATATTAATATATGAAAATTTTTGAAAACATCATTTTGATAAAATCCTTGTATTCCCTATGGCCATGGAACTGTAATGAAAAAGGACAATTTGACATTGATTGACCAATACCAGACTTTGATGAATTACCATGACATGATCTGTGATGCTGAGGTAACCCAATAATCCATTTGAGATAATCCAGCATTCATTATAAAAAAGAGCTGAAGGGAAGAAAAGACCCAAATCCCATCTTCCATTCCATCATCACAAACAACACTCCAAGGGACTCCCCATGCTCTTTTGTTGCCTGGTCAGCATAAGAAAGGTTTTAGGTAAGTATGATCTGAATGACTGAAAAAAATGAAAATGTGAGATACTTAGGCTACTAAAAAAGAGCTTTAGAAATTTATGATAGTCTCTGGTCTTGTTGGGCGATGTTCACTGAGCTTGCTCTAAAGGTGCCTAAAAGGCCCTAATTCTGTAACAGAGGACAAGCCTCTTCTGTACAAAACAGTGGCTAAAGCTCCGTCATTCCACCTAGCTTCAGTGTAAAGTCATTCACCCATGTCGTTAGCAATTACATAAATGTGTATTGTTGAGTTTGGTCATGAATCTGATACTACGTAAGCTCCATCCAGATAGCTGTACTAGTTGATACAAAAGATTTTGGAAGTTACAGAAGGCTAGTCTATATATGAACTGTACATCAACATTAGCAACCTACTACTCTTCAGATATTTTGGACTTCTAATCCCTTAACGTAGTCAGGTTGACTGGTTCCAGTGGGAATCTGAAGGGCAAAAGGTTACTTAATCCTGCTTTATATTAAGAAGCACACATAGCTATGCACCTAAGTAGAATTCTGTGACCTATATGAATTATGTAATTTTTCATTTATTCATTTTATACTGCTAATTGTAGAAGAGTGAAAAGGAATAACCCAGATTTATTAAAACCCTATGTTTTGAACAGTGGGAGGTGTCCATGATCTGCTTCCTCCAACTTATCAAGCCTTTCTCATATTTCAACTCTATAAATAAAAACTAGTACTTTTCTTTTTTAATGGAGAGCTAGCAAAGATTCAGCATTTCAAGCATACAGAGGTTTTGTAAGGACATTTTCCTCAAGTCATTCTCAAGTAAAAACAAAAAGCAATTGATCACACATAATGCAACTGTGCCAAAGAAAAAAGAAAAAAGGAGACAGGCAAAAAGCTCTTTGAGAATTTTACACAGGTCTTAAGACTTTTGCTACACATAGTCAGAAATTCAATCCACTTTATTTCCAGGCCAAAAACACAAGACTGCAGCTTGAATTGCTTACTTATATAGAATATTCTGATGAATTAAATAATTAGGGGAATGCACGAAGGGCAAGAGGACACTCTTTCCTAGTTTAAAGCAGCTTCCAATGGGAACATGAAGCCAGGAAAGGCTAAAAAGCTTTCTGATTCTACTAGGAGGGGGTTTTAGCCACAAGCAGCTAAACAATGCAATCCAAGCAACCATGCGGCCTGAGCAAAGCACAGGATTGTGACAGAGAATTGTTTAGAGAGCAAACCACTCAAGATGGGCCATCTAAGCAATCAAAAATATATCTTCATGGGAAAATAATCTAATGTAAGTCCAGGCGCTGTCAGTCAAGGGGGAAAACTACTTTCCAAAAGCAATAGTGGAAGGTAAGCTGACAAAGAAAAGAGCTATAACATAACGGTAGTCCACATTTACCAAAGGCACTCACCAATATCCAGTATTCTGTCCCCTGGCCTGTTCCATCTCCAGCCCTCCAACTGTTGATGCTCTGTGTACTGCAGCCGCCGGTCATGGAACACCACTCTAAATATACTCTAAGAAACAAAAGAACTTCCCATGGATTATAATTAATATGCTGGAATACAAGTAGGTTTAAAAGAAAAATGATGATTGAGGAGAGGAGGTGATTTTTGGGAGCTTCTTCCAAAAATATGCCTTCAGCAGACCCACCTACCATAACGCTAATTAATTATATGGATTGGACATATTTTGTTTAGCACTGACACACATAGTCAATTCACATTCATGATCCTATTTATGGCAAAAGACACATGAAGCCAAGATTCACTCCCATACTGCACTGCATTCTGAAGTAAAATACTAGAGCAATGTATGAAAAGGCTCTAAATTTCTCCAAGGATTAGTTCAAATATGCTTATAAATCAACTGCTAAACCTGAATCAAGGAAATGCATAAACAGATTCCACTGAAAAATTTTGCTCTGGAGTGGATTGAGAGTTCTATCCAAGACATTTGAATTACAATTTACAGGTAGTCCTAAGGTTACAACCACTCGTTCAATGACCGTTCAAAGTTACGACAGTGCTGAACGAGGAGGACTTACGACCAGTCCTCAAAGTTCCAGCCATTGTTCCTGTGGTCAAATGATCACAATCCAGGCGCTCAGTGCCTGGCTCATGATTACAACATCGCAGCAAGCCATGGTCATGTGTTCGCAATATCTGACATTCCCTGCCAGCTTCCCAACAAGCAAAGTCAAAGACAAGCAAAGACAGGAAGTCAGAAGTCACTTCCACTCCAGCTGCTCTTTTGCCCACCCATGCTCCATAGCGTCTGCCTGCAGCACCCCCCTGCACTCCACAGAACCTGCCTGAGGTACCCCCCACCTGTCTGTAGCTCTCACCTGCAGTTCTTACCTGTCAGCCCACTTGCCTGGGACTCCCGCATCTTTCCACTTAATGACACGTGCAATCCTGGAGTTACAATTGCTGTCACTAAGCGATGCAATCAAGTGATGTCACACTTTACAACTCCATTGCTTAATGATGGAAATTCTGGTCCCAACTGCTGTGGTAACCCAAGGACTACCTGTACTTTCATAGTTATTTGCCGTAATTCAATGTTCCCACTAAGAGATTAACATGCATGTGAGCTACTTGGATGTACCTTGTAGCTCAGCACCAGGTACGAAAACAAAACAGACTTCCAATAAGGCTAATTCTTACAGGGAGCATCCTCAAGACACTGAATATTTCCATGATTTCTAAGCACTCCAAAGGCCAAAGGGCTAGAAACTATCATGGTATTCAGAGGAGGGAAACTACCATTATTATTCAATAGTAGATGACATAATGAATCCACATTCTACATTAGGGTCTAGAATGTGGTAATACAATGTGCTAGAAAAAAGCTCAGATTTCCCTGTTTTAAAAAATGCAGAATTAGAAGAAGCAACTGTTAACAATAGACTCAACATCTATAATAGAGATGATACATCTGGGTGAAGCACACATACACACAAGGAAAAAAATGCTGCATGCAGTATTTATCTATTATCACCTGTCTTAGCTAGTCTTGACTCCCAGCAACTGTCTGGACAAATCCCTGCAGTTTTCTTGACATTTTTGGAAGTAGTTTGTCACTTTCTTCTTCCTAGGGCTGAGAGAAAGTGACTGCCCCAAAGTCAACCAACTGGCTTTGGGCCTAAGGCAGGACTAAAACTTAACCTCTTGGTTTCTAGTCCGATGCCTTTAACCACTATATCAAATTGGCTCTCTTTAATTTACATAGTGTTACAAAACAGAATCCTTTGAAAAAAAATATTTTTTTGCTGCAGTAACACTATTATATGTTCCCAGATTTTTACATTAATAAACGTATTCAAGTATAAGCAATAGCCAGAAAGCAAGAGGCAGTTAGCTATATAATTTAAAGGGAAGCCATGATTACTTAAGTATTTAAGAAATTGTTTAAACCATACTGAAAATGTTCAGGTATCTTCCATTCTAGTATGGTTTTTGTCCAGAATATCATTCTATCTTAGGAAAACAGGTTAATGTTATAAATTACAGAACATTTGCATTAGACTGGATGCTACCTTGACCCAGAATCAATGATAGGGGTGTCCAGTAACTACCTCTTGTATGATAAGATTGGATCAATTTCCATTTGTAGTGCCTAAGGATGTGGATAGGCTGCTTGGAGCAGTACGTTCTGTCAGTTGTCCTCTGGATGCTTGACCACTATAACTTCTAACAGGAAGTTATTAGAAACTGTTTCATTAACATCATAAGTGCCTCTTTGAAGGAGGGTGGGATGACTCCTTGTATAAAGGTGGTAGTTATTAGACTTCTTCTTAAGAAGCCTGACCCAGATCCTTCAGAGATGGGCAATTATAGGCCAATCTCCAACCTTCTATAGGTAGGTAAGGTGACTGAAAGAGTGGTGGCTTCTTAACTGCAGGCAGTCCTGGAGGAAGCAAATTATCTTGACTCATGTCTTGAGCACTTGGTAGCTTTCAATACCACTGACCATGGCATCTTTCTGGATAATATGAGAGATCTGAGAAAAGGGGGCACAGCTTTGCAGTAGTTCCTTTATTATCTGTTGGGTGGATTTCAAATGGTGCTGCTTACAATGATTATATAGAGACTTCAGGGCTTCATTCTGTCTCCAATGCTTTTCAATATCTAAATGAAACCACTACGGTGATCATCAGGACATTTGGAGCTGGTGCTATCACTATGCTTACGATACCCTGTAGAGGTGTGTGAGCCAAATCTATTTGTTCAGGAAATGGTATGGCTCCCTTGAAGGTCTGCCCAAGGCTGACAAAAGTGCTCATTGTTAGAGGCCATAATTCCTGAATTGGTAGATTATACCTTCCCATAAAGAATAGGTATACAGATTGGGTGGGGTTGCTTCTGGACCTGAATCTCTCTCTAGTTTTCCTGATTAGGCAGTGGCTAAGAGTGCCTTTGGTCAGTTTTGGTTGATGTGCCAATTTCCCTTTCTGAAAAATAATGATCTAACCTCCAGGACTGATTATGGTAATGTACTCTACATGAAGCTGACATTGTGTCCAGTCCAGAATCTTCAATCAGTACAAAACTCAATAGCCAGGCTGGTCTTGGTAAAAATGCAGAGACCATATTACACATGGGTTTAAAGGTACTGAACTGGCTGCCTGCTGATACCCAGAAAAAAAATAATGTGGTGGATTTTACCTTTAAAGCCTTATATAGCTTAGGTACAAGGTATCTGAGGATTGCTTTTTACTATATTAACCTTACTGAATGTCATCTACACTTGCTGCAAGCTGGTTTGGAGGTCCCGGGGTCAAGCCTTCTCTGTTGCCACCCCAGTTCTTTCAAATGCACTGAGGGACCTGTCATCTTCATTAACTTTTTAAAGCCCTTTAAAAACATTTTATTTATAATTATTTTTACTAGCATTAATTAGTTTACATTGCTATTTTAACTGTTTTTAATATATTGATTTTAAATCTATTTTTATTCTAAACTGTGAAGAGACTTCAAAGGTCAGAAATTTACTTAGTTAAATAAATACTCTTGCTGTCTAAGGTCGTGTATGTTTAGCTCAAAGAACTTGAATCTAAAACTAAAAGGATTGCAACAGGTAGATTTTCCTACTTTGCATATTGCTTCAGTCCGGCTTCCAGCTATAGATAAAAAAAGGAACAGCTGTGCTTGCCAGTTCTACTGTCTAAACATTACTAAATTTTCCTGCCTATGTTCAGATAAACATAAAACAAGCCTACAATTGAGGTTATTGTACCTTATTTTGGTGCTGAACCTTCTACTGCCTCCTGCACTTCTGAGGCAACTTCATGCAAGGCAAGAATAGTGGGATAGTGAAAGAAAGGTTGCCCCACTAGGTATTTTACATCATTTTGCTATCCCTTTTAAAAACCCTCTGCAAATTAATACAGAAACTATAGCAAGCCACAAATTTACAATCTTGATTCAAGACTACGTACCAAGCTTTTTAGTTGATATGTCTTTGGAAGATTCAGTGAAATCCAAAATTCTAAGAGATGCAAATTTCATCTGCCTTATTTATTAACTTTGCATTATTTATGCTTCAAGTAGCAAGGTTTCCTCATTCATCAGTGGCCTATCCACTTAATTTGTCACCCACTAATCTTTCTTTTTGCTCCTCACTAAATTGCCATTCCTAATATTATCAGCAGGGCTTGCTGGGATGATGTAAGTGACTGCATCACTTTGCATAATTTAGTATCATTAATTACCTGGCAAACATGTTTGTGGAAATCTGATTAAGCTCTGTCACATATTTTGGGAGAAGACAGATTAATACATACCTTTACAAGCTTCCCATTTAGTTCAGGCAATTCCCCCATTTTCCTGTTGTCCAGCATTCTGATTTCATAAGACTGACCTGAAGAAGAAAATATATTTGCAGTTACCATGAAAAAAAATAGGACTTGCTGTCTCAGTCTGAAAAAAAAAAGCAAGCAACTGACAGACCCCAGAGTGTATTGGAAGCAATGAAAAAAAGGGCCATTTTGTGTGAAAGTATATCTGTATCACTATATCCCTTTTAAAACAGTCCATGTTTCATTAGGTCTGAACTTGATTAAACCAGAAATGACTTGCAATCTGGAGGTCAGTTATGTTACTCCGAACTGTATTAAACTAAGAGAAACGTAAACAGGTATATCAGCCAATATCCCTCTACTTCCCCAGTTATACTGATCCAATAACAAGATACTATTGGTTCATACGGGCGAATTCCAGGTCGTGTTAATTGAATGACACTTCTGATATATTCTGTATACAGCTAATAGGTCAGTAACATTTTACATCTACCAGAACTATCACTAATCTTTTTCAAATCAGCTGCATAGATACGTGAGGAGTGCCAAAAGTTAGCTGAATACAGAAAGTATTACATAAATTAAGGTTTATTGAAGTTGAGGTTCTTTTGACAGTAACTAAGATTAAGCTGGTTTAGAGATTATGAGTTGGATATCCTTAGGCAACTGCATGGTTTTGTCAGGTACTCCCAGGCCTGTGAGTCACATCAAATATTCATGCTTGTCATTCCTGTATTCCCAACTATTTTGTTTAACTTCACTGTAAAGTGCTCTGACAGTTTTACTGGACAATGGCATATAAGAATTTCAATTAAATTAATAAATAACCTAAACTACTGTTTGTTGTTTCCCTCTTCCCATTGGACATTTTAACTTTTATTAACACTGGTTTGAACAGCCAACTTACACTGATATGTACCCAGAACTATAAAGCAGCCTTTTTCCCACCTAGTATTCTAGCAACAGAAATGTAGCTCACCTTGATTAAGATAGGTGAGAGTTTCATCATGAAGTTTCACAGCAGGGGAAGTGGCAGCACACAATACATACTGAAAGGGCAGAATTTTGTTCTCATTGTCAGGAGGCAAGCTGGATTCTTCTTGCTTAAAGATGGGCAAGGCAAGGACATCACTGCAAAACAAATGTGTGATCAGGACAATTATTTTTGTTAGCTTTACTGAAATCTTTTAAATTACAATGAGTATCCATATTTGACAATTAAACAAATCCATGCAGTACCTTAGCACATTAAAATAAGAATTTCCTAAACAGAATAGGAGAACAAAAGGAATGTGTGTGCGGTTACATATCTAAATCAATTTAGCAAGGACAACTTCCCTATCAAAAAATCCTTTCAGGAAGGATATCTGGGTTCTGGACTTCTGGTGAGAACATCATGGCGAGCTAGATGTCGTCACTGCAGCAGGATGGCGGGACGGCATTTACAATGGAGATCAGCAACTGGATGCAGGATCCTGGCTGCCGAAATCTCTCCAGAGGAAGGAGAGATCCTGAGATAGCACACGTGCACTTCAGACAACCGCTCCTCATGAGTAGACTGCAGGAACTGAGGTTTTGGGTTGGCTTATGAGTTGAGCGGCTGGGAGTCAAGAGAGAAACCATCTATGCCCACTGTTGTAATTCAGCCTTTTTTTAAGGACAAAGCTTTGGAACAGCAAGTTTCACTGCATTCACTGGGCGAGTCGCCTTCTCCTTAGAGAAAGAATTTTTAAATACGATTTTAAGGATTGGATATATATTACTTTTTGGATCAAACAGCAAAAGGGTGCTTAAAGTGTTGATTCTGAAAAGTAAACAATGGATTAAGGGTCCAGATGGACTTGAAATTATAATTTTAAATTAATTAGAAGAATCCTTCCTGTGGGAAACTGTGAGTGTTTGGGTTTCTTTAAGAAAAAACATGATAGGATGAGACTTTGAAGACTGCTACACTGGATAAGTTTGACATTAATTTGAATGTGGATTTAAATGTGACAAGCAATGAGAAAGTCATGGAAAAAGATGTACTGGACATACAAATGAAACCAGTTGATCTTCAACACTTAAAGGAGATATACACATATTAAATCAGAAAAGCGATTTGGATAACTTTTTCTTACTGGATGTAGAAAAGAAGTCTGTTAAAGTTTTGAAGGTTTCTTTGAGAAGGGACAAAAGAAAAGATATTTTTTTCTTACTGGATGTACAAAAGAAGTCTGTTAAAGCTCTGAAAGATTCTTTGAGAAGGGACCAAAAAAAAGATGAAAAGAAATCAAGCTCTGGGCCTTTATCTGAAAGGGTTAAAAATCAAGATTGTTAAAAGTATAGGGAAGAAATATAGGGTTGGCGTATCTGACCAAGTTTAAAATAGATAAGTAGTAATATCTGGTAACCCTTACTGGAGTTTTGCTGATACCAACTGAATGACAAGGTTTCGGGATTTTGTTTTTCATTAACAGATGAGATATGGGGTGAAGAGAGTATTTGTTGTACTTTAAGAGATGGTGTTAAGCTATTAAAATTGTTTATACTTGTGATGAAGGGGGAAGTTACTTTTTTTTTCTTTTTTCTTTTGTTCCTTTTTTAAAATATTTTTGTAGTCTATATTAGTTTTTATTTTCTCTATTCGTAATTATTAATAAAATCATTTGAAAAAAAGGAAGGATATGGTTTTAAAGTGAAAATAACGTTACTTAGAAATCAAGAAGCTATGCTTGCTTTAGATTTGCTAAACAGAAGGATTATCATATTACTAGCCAACTTTAAGGCTAACTCTTTCTTAGACTTCAAAGAGAAGGCTCTCTGGGTGAGATGTTTGAGTTTCTTACACTTAAGCACTCTTATCCACTCTTCCCCAAGCTGATGCACTCCTTATATATCAGACAAAAACCCACAACCTCCAGCCAGCATTTGTGAAAGTCTAAGTCCAACATGTCTACAGAAGGTTGACAGATGCAATGGAAGGTAGGTTGGTAATCTACCATCCCCACAAAGGGCAAATGTGGTTTTATAAGATGACACAGCACTTTGGATCCAGAGAAGATATTCCAGCAAAGACTCATTTTCTACCTATGGGATTTTAATGCTGTGGGCCTGTTGAGACTTCATTTCAAATAAACAATATATTTGACACTGACAACCTCTCAGGAAAAAGTCATTAATTAAAAGACTTATTTTCATAAGCCAACTAAATGCTGCATATCCATGAACTTCCATGCTCTTATTCTGAGTAAGGCATAGCATCTTCTGTGACCTAAGACTGATGCCTCACTGTTGATGCTACTAGAGGGAATATAAAATCCTTGCTACCTTTCAAGAAATTAATGCAGATTACTAGGAATTTGTTAAGACTCACGTTTCTTCACCATAGTAACGATGGGTGTTTGTGTTCCAAGTGTAATTTGAAGCACTCTCATCAACAATTTGTATACTAGTAATAGTAAAAGAAATCTCCATTTTTCAAAATGGCACTCTGCCATCTGCCTCTAGAATCGCAGCATAACTCTACAATTTATGTAAAGTGCTCTAGCACCCACTACAAAAAGTATGGGATCAAGAAGGCAGTACCATTTTCACAAAGACTCATATGAAGAATTTGAACTCAAAAGTAATTATTATATTTATGGATGCTTAAGTTACACTGAAACAATGAAGCGGAAAAAAGTAAGCGTCTAAGTGCATATTTAGTGTAAAGACTTCTGGGGCAACTTCCCAGACAGGAGAAACAGGGTGTCCACCCCACTGGGAAGCTGTGAGGGGCAGGTTGAGGGGAAAAAAAGATTTAAAAAGAACTAATGAAATGAATTCTTTATATTTGTCTCTGTTCTTTATTCCCCCTCAGAGTCAAATACAATCAAGTTCTAAAGAAAGTCACAAGAGACTTTACCTGGAAACACCTTCATTTATTTCTGTGGGAGCAGGCAATTTGTATAAAGATGTAGCGCAAAACACTAATGTTTCCTAGTACCTTAACCCTCATTAAGAATTATAATTGTCACACGAAACTCCCCCATTCTTGTTGCTATGCAAGATGTCTTGACTCATTAACAGACAAAAGCAATATACCTCTTCTCTGCTCTTTGCTATTCGAGCTGAGTACAAAGACATGAAAATCTGTTACTCTCTCAACTTCTAACCCAGGGACAGAAGATTTGAGGGACAGCATCCACCAGAAGAAAAGTCGTTCCCTCTACTTATCTTCTGGGAAAACCTACTTTTGTAGGTATATTCTCTAAGCCGTATGATGTTACATGTGCGTGTCTATATTTTCCCATGAATCATGATCAAAGGGCATTCATATTTTTTCTAGAGTATTTGCTATATTACTGTTCGAAATGTCAAAATGCTCAAAGTTTGAGATGACACATTAGACTAAGCCATGATTTAATAATGACTTACAAATAAATCACAGTGGCTGAGTTCACTCCACAAGCAAAGCCATTACAGTAAATATGGTCCCTAGGACACAATGGCTGGACCACACAATATGCTAAACTAGGAGTGGGCAACCTTTAGGTGACCAGAGTCTGCATTCAACTTTTTGAGCACCGTAAAGCTCATGTCAGGTAAGACAATGATACTAAGTAGATAAGGCCCTACCATGCAAATAGCCTAGGCTCTTTCTCTTCTTTCTTGGGGATTGGAGTATTTATTTTGTTCTAACTATGTTAAGCCTTATATTACAACTTTTTGAAACAATGGTAAATCAAAGTTTGAGGGTGCATTTGAAGGAAACTTGGAAGTTGTCAAAACAGGATTCAAGGTCACACACAACTGTGAGGCTGCTTGTCACCTGCCCTAATCCAACACTAACAAACCACATGTATCAATCCTTTCATACAGAGGATTGAATCCTGGCTGCCATCTGTATCTCCCCATCTCTTGTAAAGATGGAGTGCATCAACCTTCCCATCTTAAAAGGACTGCTGTTTTGAAAAGAAATATTGATTTTCTTGAAGAATGAAGTGACATATCCAATAAACACAACCTAACAGCCTTTCAATAATAAAAAAGATATAGTAAACAGCATGACACTTATTTCTGGATGTAGCTGAATTTATATTGGACATCAACCACATCATAGAGTAATAATAATTCCTTTCTACAAATGTCTGAATAATTAAGTTAGCAAGAGGTCAGGAAAAATATCAGTACCATAGTACAGCTCTACTTGACACACATCTTGACTTCACATTTTTTTAATAGTGAACTCCTCCTCCTCCTATTTTCCCCACAACAACAACCCTGTGAGGTGAGTTGGGCTGAGAGAGTGTGACTGGCTCAAGGTCATCCAGCCAGCTTTCACATTTTTTTAATAGTGAACTCCTCCTCCTCCTATTTTCCCCACAACAACAACCCTGTGAGGTGAGTTGGGCTGAGAGAGTGTGACTGGCTCAAGGTCATCCAGCCAGCTTTCACATTTTTTTAATAGTGAACTCCTCCTCCTCCTATTTTCCCCACAACAACAACCCTGTGAGGTGAGTTGGGCTGAGAGAGTGTGACTGGCTCAAGGTCATCCAGCCAGCTTTCATGACTAAGGCGGGACTAGAACTCACCATCCCCTGGTTTCTCGTCTGGTGCCTTAACCACTAGACTAGACCAAACTGGCTCTCATTTAATTTAATTTGATTTAAAATGTGGCTCCCATTTAAGCATAAATTAGGAATTGTAGCTACAATTATTTCCACAAAATACATACATTTTATACTCTATTCTATATTTTGCTATAGCCATAGTTGTATGTATTCCTACTTGCTATCCCTCCCCTATTCTCAATTTTTTCCTCCACCCCAGATATATAATTACTTTCAAATGTGGATTGAAAATTAAAATAATCTGGTCAGCAGTAACTAATATAATATCAGCACATTTTATCAATTTTTCTATCTGTAAAACCAGTTTCTGTATAGCTCTTTTCCCATCCCAACCCCTACATGACAAGCAGCAGCAGAATAACTTATAGAAACAGTAAAATTTCTTGAATTATGCAAAATGAGAAGTCACGTAAAATGGTTTCTTTCACATAATTCATCAGAATCACACAAATAAGCTTTTCTTACTATTTTTTTAACATGTTTTTTCTGTTTGTGCAGATCAGACAGATGACTGGCTAGGGCTAGGACAAGAATTAT